CATTCGTTGTGAGCGATGAAAGTCGCCTCTGAACTCTGAAAGTCGCTTGTGGACTTTGAAAAAAAAAGTGACCGAGACCGGTATTTGAACGACGTTTTTGTGCTCCATCTCGCTTTTTGGAACAAGAGGCACTTTGACCTCACATCGAGAGTATCATTGATCTATTATACTTCATATGAGGAGTCTCACCAATAGAAGCACGGGCTTGACCTACATCGCAAAGAAATTTGGAGTTGCTGAAGCGAAGCTGAAAAAAGCATAGAACGAAATTTACGTGGATTACTTGCGGCGCACCACTGGTGACTTCTCTCGCCGTTTACGCGAATGTATAGCTAGAGAAGGCTACCCATTCGAATAAATCTTATAGATTGTTGTCGTTATAGCAGTAAGTAAACTTTATAAAAATCCACTTTTGGTCTTGTTTTTGCGGAGCGATTCAAGGAGCAGCATTTTTTTTGCACTTTGTATAGTAGCGGGTCTTTTCTAATTAAGCAACCTCCCAAGTCCCGTTGCAAAAGACGAACCTTTGAAGCGAGAAAACCTTTTGAAAAGGTGAAAACGCACTTGGCTTACCCCTTCAACGTAGGTCTTCTAAAGAGCACAAGTCCGAAAATGAGCTTAAGAGTGAAGTAGTAAGAGATCATAATAAAGGGCGGATTTAGGACAATAATAGATACTTTAAAGCCCATGTGTGGACGCTATATTCAGACCACCCACGTAGAACTTTGCTATTATATAACATCAAAATTACATCACCCTCATTTTGGCTGGACGGTACATTTAATGTTTGCATTTTAAATTGAGTGCTCCAGTAAGCAGGCGCGATATGGTTGTCGACATGCTGTCTCTTATTCGTGAGTTAGTAGTTATGAATTTTACGATGGGAGGTCTGAATAATGAGAAGTTTTGCCCTTCATAATGCACAATGTGCCATGCATTCGACTTAGCAATCAAACATCCCTTCTACTATTCACTAAATTAAACGCATACTTCAAAATGTTCGCAATATTACTTGGTAATTGTGCATGATAAAAATTCAAATAGGAAAATCACTCTGACTCCCGACTTTCGAAAATAAATTGTTAAAATTCAACGTTGCAGAAGAATTTAGAAATGTGTTTGTTACAGCAAGCGTGAGCTGCTCTTTTTAACAGTGCTAATGTGCTGATTGAGCTTTTCTAACAAAAATCATGATCTTCGTGAAGAATGCAGAAAAAACGGCGAAAATAATTTGTTTCCCTTTTTCTCTGAATTTTTCGCGAAAATCATAACATCTAATAGAAAACCTTCATTAACACATCTTGGCATTGTTAGAAAGAGCACAGCTTGCAGAAACTGCAACAGACTGTTTCCAAATTTTACTACAGCGTTTCATATTTTGACGATTTATTTTCGAAAATCGAGAGTCAAAGTGGTGCTTCAATTGATTTTTTCCTGGAATCTCTTAACATCAAAGAGCCAAAGTCGTTTTTAAAAAGTGGATGAATTTATCTATTTATATGTATTTTTTGTGAGTTATCACGTTCAGCTAGGGCGCAGTCATGAATTTTTTAAAATCAAAGCGACAAAACTTTCGCTTCAACCTTATAGTGCTTTCTCTTTCAATTCACATCAGTCTCAAAAAAGCAGCTTCAATCGAAACAAACAATAAGGAGTCTCGGAAATCTTACTACCTTTGGAGTGCACTATCAATAAAACGCTCAAGGGCTCAAGGGCTATGTTAATAAACACATAGACATGGACAACAATAATGCACTACTCATCAGAAGTGGAATAAAAGCAAAAAACATAAGAAAAAATGAGTTATTTATGTTCTGGGTTGCATAATGAAGCAGCTTGATGCGACAGTTTGTGAAGAAGGCTGTTAAATGCTTTGGAACAAATTTTTTGCGCAGTTAGGTAGATTTTGTGTCCCTAAAACATAGTGGTTTTTTTGAAATGCAAATTGTGGCTTGTTTCGAGCAGGAATACGACGCCCTCAAAAAGAGTTGACATGAACCATTGAATTGTATTAGTAATCTGAATTAATTAACGAATCAGAACTAGATGCTTTCTACGAAGATGTGGAGGATGTCGTCCGCAACGAGAAGTCCTTTTATAAGTTTGTTGCGGGCGACTTCAAAGCGAAAATCGGGATGCCACTGGAAAAGGAATATAGGATCGGGAAGTTTGGATATGGGCTCCGGAACGAAAACGGCAACCGTCTTGTTGGGCTTCTCTCCGCCGCACGACTTTTCTATGGAAATTCCATTTTTATAAAGAAAGAACATTGCCTGTGGACATGAGAATCGCCCAACGGAACGACCCACGCGGAGATCGACCACATTCTCACCTTGCTCGATATCTCAGTAGTTCCATCCTTCTGCAGTGGCTCCGATAACCGCTTCCTTCGAGCGAAGGTACGATTCAGTCGAAGGCTGGAAAAGAAGGTCTGCCACAGTGCCGCAAGAAGGAAGAATGTCGTTTATGACGGTAACAGGCTGGAGGAGCTCATATCAAGTTGTGACTGGCCCATCGAGGAAGACCCAACGTACGAATACGACCGGCTTCTGAAAGGATTGCGAGCCTATGGAGAGTGCGCCTCAGTGACTTCTGAGAAGAACTTGGAACGTATTTCGAAGACCACCAAGGAATTGCTCGAAAGAAGAAGATTTTTGAGGCAGGACCCGAATACAACCCATCTCGAGCGACTGATAGCCAACGCCAGTTGCAGAACAGCTTTGCAGGAGGATCTCAGGAAGTACAGGCAAGCCAAAATACTGGAAGCAGCCGAAGGAAGACGAAGTTTTAAGAAGTGCCGAAGGGACCTCTGCGAATATCGCGTACCGCTGGCTGCACTATTGAACGAAGACGGGACTTCGACTTCTTCCCGATACAAGATGGAATCTATCGCGAAGAACTTCTATACCAACCTCTTCCGCTCATCAACACCCGTGCCGATGCCCGTTGTTCCCACTGGAGAAGTACCACCACGAATTCTACCTGCTGAAGTGCGCACAGCGATTCAGACCATGAAGACACGGCTCCAGGAACAGACCATCTTTCCGTCGAATTTCTGCGAGCTGGAAGACAACGTTTACACGAGATCCTTGCGTCGCACCTAACAACTTACCTTCAGAAGGAAAGGATTCCCGACCAGTGAAGAACATCAAGAACCGTCCTTCTTTTCAAGAAGGGTGAACGGGAAGATCTTCGGAACTACCGTCCAATATGCCTGCTGAGTGTGCTGTACAAGCTTTTCACGAAGATTATCCTCGCTCGCATATCTAGCACACTGGATGAAGCGCAACCCCAAGAACAAGCTGGATTTCGTAAAGGATTCAGCTGCATGGACCACATCCAGACGGTTTCGAGGGTCAAAGAATTCTGCCGGGAATACCGACTGCCTCTCGTCCTAACCTTTGTGACTACGAGAAAGCCTTTGACAGCGTCGAAACCAACGCCATCCTGTCTGCGCTAGTCGATCAAGGAGTGGACCCAGCTTACGTGAGGACGTTAGCCGACTGTTACAAGGACTGTACAACGACGATGCAGCTATTCCATCGCCCCCTGACCATCCCAATTGGGAAGGGGGTTCGACAAGGCGACACAATTTCGCCGAAGCTGTTCACCGCGGCCTTGCAGTGGGTGATGAAGTCACTGGACTGGGACGAGAGAGGCATACGAGTTGATGGGAGATTCCTGTCGAACCTTCGTTTTGCGGACGACATCGTTCTCTTTTCGAGCAGTATCACTAAAGCAGAGACGATGCTGAAGGAACTGAAAGAAGTAGGGAAGAAGATCGGATTGCGAATCAATCGGAAGAAGACTCAGTTCATGAAGAACGCCCTTTGCGAAGATGCAGAAATGGAATTGGAAGGCACTCCTATCACGGAGACGTCTTCTTACGTGTATCTCGGACGTTCGATGAACATGGAGAACGACTTGAGGGAAGAACTTAACAGGAGAAGAAGAGCAGCCTGGGCCGCCTTCGGGCCTCTGAAGGAAGCCACCGACCAACCGACGGATCCGGAGCTTCATGCCCACCTGTTCGACTCAACCTTTCTTCCGGCGCTCTGTTACGCAGCTGAGACTAGGGCTGACACCGTCGCCACTTCGAAAGCTTCAAGGACCACCCACAGAGCGCTAGAGCGTAATCTTCTGAAGATGACCCGACACAAACAACATCTCGTCGGACTTCGCAGTACGGATATGAGGAGAATGTCCCGTCTTCGTAACCCAGCGGATTACGTTGCGAAAGCGAAGCATCGATGGGCCGGTCACATCATGAGAAGAACAGACGACAGATGGACACTAAGAACATCGGAGTGGATTCCTCGCGAAGCAAAACTTCCCCGAGGAAGACCCCAACGAGATGGGCAGACGTGTTCGTGGAACGGATGGACCAGCTGAGAAATCAGCTGGATACGATTTTTGCACCTGGAACTCGTGGACGCAGCCACCGACGTCAGCCAAGAAGATCGTGGATGTCAGAAGCGAGGGACAGGGAGAAATGGAAACTTCTGAGCTGGGGCCCGCACGTCACGGGGCCATCTAAGTATCTAAGTATCTAAGTAAGTAATCTGAATTAAATACTTTTTGGGTGGTATTCGTTGATAACGTCAGAACTCGTTTTTTAACGCTCAACTTAGTCACCAGGTTGCACGTAGATTATTCGTTTCTTATCAAAAGTAACGATAAGAATTGACTTTCAGTACAAGCTGGCAATGTAGGTTTACGTGCTCATATCACTGAAACTACTAGATATATTCTTACTGTAAAACGAGTGTACGAGAATGCTATTTGTCGAAAACATTGCCGAAGGACTGAACTGCACACAATCCATATTATCTCAAACTATTACAGTCGATTAGAAGACACAATTAGGACATGCACGCCTTCGTTAATCCGAGAACTCTTTAATCCTACTTTGGTGTTTGTAACAGGCAACGGTAGCTGAGTATGATGTAAAATAATAAGATTAATAATAATAGCTTTGTTTCATGTATCTTTTAAGCACCGTTTATTATAAAGGTTCTATTGCATTTACAAGATTATTGATAAGCCTATTTTAACGTTTCATCCATAGAGACCCATCACTGGGTATCTCCAGCTTCCGTAATAACCGACATATGGCGCTCGGTACATATAGGTAGTAGGATATGCAAGATATCCCCAACCCCATTGTCTCTTCACTCGGTTCACTCTTCGCTTCAGCCCGATACTAAAAAAGGACATACTTGGTATATAAAAAGCTAGTGTAAAAAGCACCTACCTTTTTTGTTGTGGGAACTCTTCCACGTTCGTGGTAGTAGCAGCAGCGCTGACGTAAATGATAAGTAGGGTGATTAGAAGATAGGTACTAAAATAGGCCATTCCTTCGAACAATGCTGTAAAAAGAATTGATATCTCTTGTAAAACACACGCTTAGTATCATCAGAAAAATAAATATCCAAACAGTACAAAAGTAGTTTACTCCTCTATTAATTGAAATAGTCATGATTATAAATTCAGCAATATTTCATTGTTTTAGCAACTGTTAGACAAGTGTGACCTACATCATTGCAGACAGAAGCGTTAGCAGACGCTACTTGCGAATCACTTACAGGAAAGGATGTTTAACCGTGGTCTTTTGTAGTACGTCAAAAAAAGGCTTGACTCCAAACAGCAAATGCAGAAACAGCCTTGCTAGGATCGGACTGGCATCTTTGCGCAATGGTGCAACACGCTGATAACTAGACCATTTGCCACTTTTGACGCTTCTCGACACTTGTGCAGACATTATTACCCTAATTTCATAGGCACAAGACGTACCCAGTTTCTAGACGCAAACAGACTTGCGGTCATAGAATTTTTCTGTTCAACGCATTAGACCTTCCACGCGGATCTTTTCAATTTACATTTAGAAAAGGTTGAGATGTGGCTTGTACATTGAAGGTAGCGTTGTAAAGAAAAGAGGAAAGTTTCAAAAAGTTTCATAACTAAATGAAACTTTAGTCAAAGTGCAAAATCTCTAAAGGGTATGACTGAGTTTATCAAAAAGAATTTAGTTTTTTGACAAAGTATATGATGTGGTTTGCCCACATTATCCCATAATCTTCTTCAGCTAAGAAAATCACTGCAGATAAAGGAGGAAGCATCCTTTTGTTCCGCATATGTACTGAACCAAGATGGGTTAAGCTGGAGCTTGGAATGCCTATGGTGTCCTAATCACAAGTTATAAAATGGAATCAAGAGCACTGGCTGATGCACAGAAGGAAATAACGAAGAAAGAATGGACACAGGCTTAGTGCCTCACTTGTCACTAACCGCTTTATATATTCACAAAACTTGCTTTGATAAGTACTTAATGGATGGTTTTTCCGAACAATTATAGCAAGGGTTCTGCAGAATTTTGAGTTTGGACATACAGAGCAGCACAAAAACTCAGACAGTCCCAAAGGAATTCGGTGCAAACTGAACTTCTAAAACTTCCAGGGGTGCTTCTATTGGGCAGTGTGGCGTAGGCAATGTGGCGTGGGCTTCACTCGTGAAGTGCCAGGAACAGTTGAATCAGTTAGGGTAGGTCCTTGCGATCGCTCAACCATCTCAGCTCTAGCGCCATGACGTCTGCTCGTTGTAAACACTGGCATTTTTGTGGGAAGGAGCACCTGAGCTGCGATTTAAAATACCAGTGCTGCTTCGCAGAGGTTCGCACTGGCATCGTGAACCGTGGTAAACTCACTTTCTAAGAGCTTGTCTTCAAAATCATTGTTCGGTTTATTGCAACGTACTCGCTGTCTTAACCTCACATGATGTTTAGTATCGTAAATCATTCCTCACTGTAATTTCGTAACGGACAAACTCCACACAACTTCAGATTAAGCCGCTTATTATAAGTCATGATGTTTGAGCGAACACGCTCTGTCAAAATCCGGAGTCTATCAGCTAAGAACATAATCCCAACTTATTTTTTTAAGCAACAGTTCTGCCTTGTTCGCTGCGAAAAAAAATTGAAGTAAGTAAAGGCATTTTCGAGTCAGGTTTCATTTGAAAGAGCACATTACAAACTTGTAAGCCTCATCAAAGTAATAAATGCTGATTTTTGCTAGCAGAATGCAGTGGAAACAAAAGAGTAGAGCAAACTCATGGTAGCATGGGAGAAAACTGCACTCATTCCTTTGTGCTAGAAAAAGCCGAAAACCTTGTGAGCCCCAAATGACCGCTACGTTACTTCAGCGAACAGAATTTGGAAACATGGTTGATTATGTGATCGTTCAACAAACTCAAAAAGTGTATTTGTAAGAGGCACGACTAGAAGTCGCGTATCTGGACCAAGGCTGACATGAGTTCATTTCTAGGTTTTTTTTTTTTTGAAAACGAAGTCCTCCCCCTTGACTTTCTCGAAAATTTACGAAACTTCCTTCGCTCTCATCTCTAAACGTAAAAAAACCCTCAAAAAACGAACCGTCGGTTATAAAAAACGTCAATTCTTTGGCCACAAAAACGATATCTTCTTTGCTTTTTTGCCCCAAGAACGAAGTTCAGCCTGCTTCCATATGATTTGCGCCAGTCCCTGATTTGGACCCGTTCTATCCAAGATGGCCAAACGTTACAGAAACAAAAATTTAGGCAGTTCCATAATTTCTCAGTGCAACCTGTTTCGGCATAACCAGTTGTTCTAACTCACCAAACACTTCGTTCTAACTTCTTCTTGGGGCTAAGTGGTAAGTAAGCTACGCTTTTTTTGGAGATATTCGAAAATTGCGCCTTATGACTATGACTCATCCGAAACGGTAACAGTTGTTTTTTCTCAACAAGGGCCAGACGAGTAGCTCCCGCAAAAACAGAATTCAAAATCAATTAGAGCAGAGTACACATCAGGGTTTTGATGACTAAGCGGTAAATACGCAGCATGCAGTATATTAAGAAAATTTTCTTATCTATTACGAGCATACTTCAGAAACTTAAACTGATCAATTCCTTATTTGCAAAACAATCCTTAGGTTTTTCTTGGTTTTTTTTCAGTTTTAGTTCCTTGTCAAAACTCGAAGAAAAAACAGATTGTTTTTTATCGCATACACAACTCATTGTCAGTTTCAACCGAAAAATTTTTAAAGGCATTTCTGTCTAATCTCGGCGTTGCACTTCTCAGACATTCGCAGTCAAGTCCCGCCGGAGATCCGCCCACAAAATGAGATTTCGCGAGAAAACCGGGAGTCTGGCGCGACTCCCGGTTTTGTCCCGACTGTCGGGACAATCCCGACAAAAAAAATGAAGCGGGAGAAAACCGGGAGTCGCGATCTCGCCATCCAGCTAACATGGTAACATGTTTGCAACGTGGTTGTAACATGTTTGCAACATGCCACAACATGTTGACTGAACATCTTAGCCGCGCCAACATGTTGTGACATGTTGCACCGCAGTAGCACTGCTTCCGCAGCAGTTTTCATTTACGCTCTTGCCGTCGTCGGAGGCAGTTGTGTTCGAAGGCTGGTTTCGTTTCTTGGTGTACATGTTCATCGGATTTATTTGTTCATCGGTCGTAGAATGAATAATACGTTGCCTGTCAATAATTTGCTCATGTATGAAGCTTCCTGTTTATTTGCGATGATTATTTACTCAGTTTTTCGCTATGACGACTTTGACATGCTTTTCGATTCTCTTTTTCAAAGTTCGTAGCTCTTAGTGTTATAGTTGCACTCAATTCAGTTGAAAGGTTGTAAGCGGAATTGAGCTAAGGAAACAACCTAACCTTGATTCTTAGCTGCTGTTAGAGATCTCCTATTTCAAAAAAACTTCATCATTCAACACGTGATGGGTTTCTATAGTAAATGATATATTGTTACTTCCGAACAACAACACAAATTCCAAGCTGCTCGGTTGTTTTTCGTGAAATGTGATGGGGAAATTTTGCTCGTCACGGGTTTTGCTATCTGCTTTGCTTGACTTGTCGTTTTGCTAGATCTTTGCTCATTGGGGAAACCTCTCCGCACCAGATTTCACTCGAAAAGTCAACAATCACCAGCTATCCTCACATCCATTCGTGGTTTTTGATGAATTATTCCAAAAGATTAGCTATATTTTGCAGCTGGGTCTGTGCAGTATTGTACTTTTTTGCAGCAGATCACTGTCTAGACTTATTCTATTTGGATTTCTCCAGTATAAAATGAGAAATGTCATTCTGAAATCACTACATTCATTTGTTATTTGCTTGACGTCTGCCTCATCACGAAAACACTATTATGCATTTCTTAGGGATAAGGCATTTCGTTTTCTTTCTCGTCTTGCAGAGCAAAAATATCAGCTTCTAGAAGCTAATCTGAGCCGAGCAGTCAGTGAGTCGTCCCCGAGCCCCAGCATTTGCACACTAACATCGCTTTAGTCAGTCAACTTTCATATCCTGTTCGATTATGGAAAAAACCAGAAGTGGAGATCCTTTTTCAAAAAGAGAAACATACATTGTCTCGAAGTAACAGCCAAATTCTGATACAGTTCTTTTTACGTTTAAAACAGTTCTCATCGAATCATAGATGCTCCGCTAGTTTTTCTGCTGACCTTTTTTCACTTCGGTGGAGATAGCCTGGCATCAGTTCTCGTTCTCGTAAAGATTCCTTTGTAGTGCATTTCAAATTGCTACACTCTCATCGCTACCATCGGCTATAGTTAAGGCTTTTTTCTTGACTATGATGAATGTTTAAATTTACAGTATGCTATAATTCCGAGCTGTGGCAAGTTTGAAAAACGATCGAAACGTCATTGGTGTTGCTAAGGAGAGAAAACGTGGTAAGTTGATTTCCCTACTTTCTTTCTTTTATCAATTTTCATCTATTACGCTCAATTAGATTTTCCTTGAATTGCCCATTGTCCTTTTGTGCGTCAGTGTTTGCTGACAACCGCCGCCACAGTTCTGCTTACTTTTTTGCAAAAAAACCAACTCACGGTCTATTTGAAAAATTTCGTTTTGTTCACATTTTGGCCTAATTTGCGGCGCCATCTAAATCTACTTAAGCGGCTGCGCGGGCGGTCGCGCGCGCCTCTCAGTACGTGCCGGGACCTAGGGTTTTGATGGGCCACGCCTCACTTGAAAATCACTTGCTCATGTTATGTATTCTTCTTGCTGTCAGCATCGATGTAGGAAGAGTCCTTGAGAATATCTTTGAGGAGATGAATGGTCTTTTAATCCTCACCCGTATTGAGAAGAGAAGCTTTTTTATATACCTTTAGTGGGTAGGAAGTCCGCATAAGAGCTTTCTTCTTCCAAATAAGATTATCATGCAGTGAATGGCATCAAAACTTTCATTTTGTTTTCGACGTGCTCTTTCGCGGCAAATGTGATTGAAATGTTTCCTTACTGTACTGAATTGAATGCGCTACAATGGACTCACCGTGCTTTAGAACATTTTATGCAACATTTATCATATTCTATCGCCACATTGTCAAGAGATGGTTTTTTGAATTATGGAAGCCTTCAGAGAAGGGAATTCTGAGCGGCTTGATACCTATCCTCATACTTCTTGAGTTCTTGCACTTCTGTCTCTTAGGGCCTACAATTGGGCCTCCGCTAACATATCAACTATTTATTATGAACTAGAAGATTTGAAAGAGCTTTGCACGTACAAGTTGAATTGTGATCTCATTGTGCATAATCACCGATTAGCTTCGATTTTGTGAGACAACATTCGGCATTCTCGATCCCTTGATCACGAAACATTTTTCCGTTTTCTCAGTGGGATTTTGTTGAAAATTTGAAAGTTCAGGCCTGAGTATGGGACAGCATTGTTCCTATCTAACAGTTTATCTAACTAGTCCTTGAATTTCGAAGCTGGTGTTGGAATAAAGACTGAAGAGAAGAGCATTTTGTTTCATGGAGGAAAACTAGCAGTCAAACGTCCGAAATTAGCATGTAAAACGTACCAAAGAAAGAAGCAATAACATTTTCTTAGAGTGGCATCAATTCTTCTTTAAAAAAACATGATTTTAAGCATTACAGGAAAAGTACACCGCTGAAAATGTACATTCATGCGCGGACTGAGACTCTCGTAGGAATGTTCGCTGCAGAGCAGCTCCTTGAGAACGATATAATCCTTTAAATGGAGAATATAAAAATATGCACTTCTGAGGATTTTCTTTGACCTTTTTCAAGTTTTGAAAGATTCAAAATAACATGCCCAACGCTTTTCCAAGTTTGGGCGAGCAAGCGTGGCCCAAGCTCAATGTGCTAGGTCCTACCACGCTGTGAGAAACGCGCGCGACCGCCCGCGCAGCCGGTTAAGTAGATTTAGATGACGCCCTAATTTTGCAGAAAAGTGGAAGCACGAACGTAGAGGGCAAATGTTGTTGATTCTGCAGCAGATAGTTAATTGAATCTAGCCTGGTCCCTACGGGATACGGGTTCACATTTCTTTATGCACTCACAGTGTAATCGGACTCTGGCGGGGCGTTATCGCCATGCCCCACGACGGTGTGGTGTGCTGCTGCTTGGCGTGGCGACAAATATGGGCCAGCTCCCTTTGAATACGCTACTAACCGCCTGCGCTAAGCACTGACCACCCGCAGCTTCTTATGCACGATCTTCGCGCCTGAAATGAGCTTACCCGTTGCTCACAGTGCGTTCAAATTTCTGATTTCTGATTGGGAGAAAATTTTTATTTGCCATCTTCACCTCTGCTCCCGTTTTCTAGCTATAAGGCTGAAATGCATTTAGTAACATGTGTTTTCATTTCCTTTATTATCCCATGAATTTCCATAGAAACTGAGAAAAGTGACAGGTGTTCTTTTCAACGCAAAATCCATCTTCGGTCACCTAGTTTTCCAGACCATTTTTGCTCATTCAAAGAAAAAGGAGAACTTCCACATTGGCCGTACATATGATGTTTTGGTCCTTTCTTTTTCCGAAGCTGCTACAGAATTGCAGTTTTTTGCGGTTGTGTGAAATTTCTGCCGGAAACGCTTACATTTCGTTTTTGACTCTGTTTTGATTAGAAAACATCAGCTTCAAACCGACATCTGCTGTCGCAAGATGGCTTCTGGGTTGATTTAAATTTCCGAACTATTTTTTTTAAACCATGGTGTAAGTTTTCGGAAACCGGCGAAACCGGCGTATATAGGAGGGATCGGCACAGGGAAATGTTGTGCGAAACTAATGCACGCATATATTTGTCAAGTGTAGTATTGACGGGGAGAGAAGGAGCCAAGCATGCCAGCTAGTATCTCATAAAACTACACTCATCTCATATCGCTGGCAAGGTCGAAACAGCTGTGTAAATTATCATCCCTTACAGTTGCTGGTACCCTTGCTCTGCGTCTATCACCTGCAACACGTATGGCTATCATGTGGCAACGTGCAACAACTGTTTGCAACATGCAGCAACATGTTTGCAGAATATTTGGCTATCAGCCTTAGCGCCAACATGCTCCTGCTTGTTGCCAATAATTGACCAGAAGTGCCGGAGGTCAGAGACGCAGTTAGCAGCGACTGTGGTAGGCAAACCACTTTTGTTGTTAGCTGGAACATCAGTATGTTGCTGCATGTCGCCAAATGTCAGCCGTGCGTGTGTGCCGCAGCAGTGACGCAGAGCAGGGCTTTTAGCTTAGAGTGAACGAGATCTTCGGAACTTCTCCCCTGCGTTGCTTGAACTCAAGAGCTTAGAACCTAAGGAGTTTAGTACAGCAAGACCTTTCTTCTTTAGTGGCCTTACAATAACGCGACTTGTGGTATTTCACGGCGGCGCTGCATCAAAGAAATTGGAAACACTTGGATAGAATGTAGTCCCGAGTGAAGGCAGGCGATTTTCTTGCGAGGTCGCTTAAAAATCAGTCATTCAACTATTGTGGGGTGCAGAAAATGTACAGGTACCTCATCCGCGCATGGTGCATGCACGCTTCTGGTTATGTCGTACCGCCTCCATCTATAGTGAGACCCTTTTGCGTTGCTTTTGCCGCAGTCAAGCCGAGAGAAAGTGTCCGCTTCATGCTAGTGATGTTGAGGGAAGTGAGCAGTGACACTTTGCGCAACAATGGCCTCTAATTTCCACTTTTCCATTGCGTGTGCGCGACCGTCGTCGTCAGATGATTATTGGATTATAAATGTGAGAGATCATTCGTTTATAGTTACCGTTTGGTAGCAGCGTTGCCGGATCTGGGTTCTGGCAAATCAAATAACAGAGATTGAAGGCTAGCGAGCATGCGAAATGCAATCCGCCCACGGAAGCAGCGCAGAGCACAAGCGAGGCAGCCGCGCGGAGCGGAGCCGCACGAGCTGGTGACACTGTCACAGACATTTGATGTATTATTGCATTAGGCTGCTTCTAATTTTTGTTGCCCTATTTTCAGGTGTATAAGCCGCACTTTTTCAAATTTCGCTTCGCTAATACACCTGAAATTAGGCTAAAGTGTATGCAAAATTGCTCATTGCAGCCAACAGGATAAACGTTGCACCTTAGGCAAATACCATACTTACCCTCTTCTTGTACTTCATCTGCTCCAGAAATTGCGACATCACTAGATGAAAGCTAATTTATTATTCGCGGTCGCATAAGAGCGATATCTTGCTCGGATTGGTCTTCACGCAGCACTAGACGGTAGAATTCATCATAGTGACGCCATCTTTTGTATTGAACGGATGTATTGGACAAGCAGGACGTATGGCACCTGCTTACACAAGCGCAGTGCGGGTTACCATGTGCGTAATCATATTCCGGTTATTTCATCCGCATTCATGAAATATTTCCGTCAGAGTTTTCATATCCGTCAGAAGTTTCGATTTCAGGGATCCCGTCACAATCTGCTGTTTTTCAAACTATAGAAGAGCATTGGACTGGAGTTTGAAAGTGTTATCACTTTCTTTCTCGTTGATCTACGGGTATTCGTAACATCGCCTTTTACTCTCTGGGTCATCTTCGCGACTGCCTTAGGAATTACTACTGCCTACAATAACAGTGAGTTTTTTTATTACATTTCTTGGCGCAAGTATCATCAAAGACTCCTCCACCCAAAGTGGGGGTTCACGAGATTCGATGGCATACTAATGTGGGCTTCCATACCAGTCTTTCAGTCTTCGAGTCTTCCACATTTTTGCATTCATCTTTACTCCTCAGTGGCTTACCCATCTTCTCTTCATCTCTTCTCACTGATGCTTTAAGTCGAAATTTGTGTATATTTTGTACATACCGCATTATTCTGTGATTGCCAAGTCATAAGACAAAAAAATACTAATTATAGGGTGTATGGGCCATCGTGGTTTTGCCCATAAGAACGTAGCCGAAGTGAAACCAAGTGCTAGTAAGGAAGAATATTCTCGTGCTCCGAATCTCAACGCTAGGAACTATTTGGACGAAATGGCACCGGTCAATGGTATTACGGAGCTTACCGAGGTTAGTAATCTTCTTTTTCTTGTGTTTCTGGGCAAGAATTTCTTCTCACCTATATGTACTGTCTGTCATTATGGAAGTTTTGCGCAATTCAGATATCATATTATTGCCCTTTGAGAGACGAGATCAAAATTTGGAATAGAATAGAGCGCACCGAACTGATTTTTAGGATCAAGTATCCGAAGCACAAGCTCGACGAGATAAGCTTCGTGATGAAGTCTCCAAGAGAAAGGAAGAGATGCTGCTTCGAGGTGTGACTATGCTCGATGCCTACTGTCAAGTATGCAATGTAAGTTACTTCGGAAATTAACCACGCTTAGCTTTGAAGAGCGCAAAACTATTTGCTTCTAAATCTCGCATACCTAAGAGATTTGAAGATTTAGGGCATACTGATGGAGGATAGGAACGGAGTGCGTACTTGCGTTACATGTGAACTTTTTGCAGAAAGTACCAAGGAGGGATCACGTTTGATTGCTGAAGTCCCACTAGGTTAGCATTACAAAATTCGAGGTCTGGAAGCGTTTATGGTATCTTTAAGATGTTGGAGTTGATGCTGGAAATAGCCTGGAAACTGCTGATGGAGTTGCTCCTGGTAATAGCTTGTTAGCATCTGAAGAAGCACCAGGGTCATATCGAAATGAGGTAAGGGCTAGTTTTTCGAGCTGTCAGTAATCAACTCAAATTTTCTATTGTAGACTCGGATTACGGACATAGTGCGAAGATGGGCTCATGAATGTCGTCATGGACGGACTCAGCAACAGTGCTTAAATCCAGGGAGTCTGCGCCTAGTGGGTGGTGAGTTCCAGTGCCACAATCTACGAGAATGAGTAAGGCGTACAGATAGTTGGACCAGTGCGAGCCTTTGCGAACCAGAGGTGACTGGCACTGGTTCTCAATAATTGTTTCTACCACGGCAATCCTACTATAATAACGCGCTAAGGCCGTCTGCTTTTTGTGTGTGTGTCTGTGTGTAAATCTGTCTGTCACGAAATTCGCAGAAGAAGTCCCAGCCAAGGAATTGGGCCCATATTTTGCACAAGGCATGCCATCAGCATATAGGTCCACCATGTACAAGGACGAGCCGATTCGATGAACGGGTCCATAAAAATTGACGCGTCAGACGGGTCCACGCGGCTTTTGGCATGCAAAACAAGGCCGCTAATGCGACTTTTTGCAAAGTCATGATTTGCCTGGCAAGTGAATCTGCGTGCCATGTTTTCTAACCCAAAATATGTTCAAAAAGTTTGTTATTCTGCGAAATCAGCGCCAAAAAGTGCTGATCGCGTAAATAGTGATTTGGCAACGTTTTACTTTGAAATTTAAGGATATTTTTGCACGAAAATGTAGCTCAAAGTGACTACTATCCTTATGATGACTACCAAGCCAAAAAAAATTCAGTAATCCGTTCAAATTCGCATTTGTCCCTTTGCGAAAAAGTTTTTCTTCTCAAAATTACCGATCTGACGTGGAGAAGCTTCAAAAATGAACAGTTGTTTACCATTCATTTGTGATATTCAGCACCGCACAGTGAGTTTCAAAGTCATCATTATGACAACATGAGAAAGGCATACGGATGGGAGAGCAAGTGCGTAACCTCCGCTTCGCGGAGGTTACGCACTGGTAATAGATAATTGTTGTTATAACAACCGTCCAAGCTTACGCGATTGCAAACAATGATGACCAAATGATGTTAATTACAAGCTTAACAAGACAAGACAACAGCCTAACAAGACACAAACATAATGCATAACAAGCTTTACAAACACTACAGAATACTCTTCAATTTACTGCACAGTTCATCAGTCAGATTACTCAACATATCAAATTTATAGCACTTACGGCGCTAGAGGGCGAAGTAAAGACGCGGAGATTCTACAGGAAAACTAGGAGAGAATTAAGCGGTATGTTCAACCTAATCTTGAACCAGCTTGTACTCGTAATGCGCGTTCAGAAGAGGCATACAGTCTTCTGCAACATGCAAAGCGCCATGCTTCACCAGGGGAAGAAGTGTTTTCTGAGGATGTCTACACCAGTGCTGCAGCCCACAGTCCGTCGACTATGCAAGATTTGCCTCCAACAAGTGAGGGATGGGAGTCGACTGTGCAAGACGTGCCTTCAACAAGCGAAGAACGAGGATCGTCATTATGTACTCAGGACGTCGACGAAGCCCTCCTATACATGACAAACTTTTCGCTTCACTTCGGAGTAACTGATGCGATGGAAGAATATCTTGACGATTTGCACAGGATCAGAACCCAGTCGTCTCGTTCCGATAAGGTGTGAAAGCGAAGGCTTTGTAAAGCGATAAGTCACAAACTTCTCGCTATTTAGTACACTTTTACGTCGGACGTACGGTCACTCAAATCGGAACTTCTTTCCCGGTTTGACTATACAAAATATTTTTTTTTGCAATCATTGCTCTGAACTGCTACGCGACAGATCGGCAGTCTGCAATCGAGCTGGATGTCTTCTGAGGGGGTTTGTCCATGTTCTTCACAAAATTTTCTGATTGGTAATGCTGCAGGATTACTCCAAAAAGGACCAGTCTCTCCAAACGCGCCTCACTCCATCTTGTGCGCTTGATTCCGCAGTTGGAGATTGTTTTAAAGAGGAACATCGATAAGCTCATCGCTGTTCACAAAGGATTGCATGAGCATGTAAGATTCAGGAAACTGGTTCGCCATCTTTTTTGAGCCCTTCTTAGAGTGGAGATGTTGATCGAGTTCTTTCTGAAACATCGGATTACGAATTGTACAGAGGGGAAATGGAAAGCCGCGAAGCCTTCGAACAGCAACGAATGAATGTTGTGCTTACGATGAGCACTGACGGCGTTACTTTCAAGAGGATCAGCAAGTTAGCATTGCTTTCCATTATTTTGCAGTTAACTAAAAAGGAATTCTAGGTCACAGGCTTGGCCTTTGTATCTGAGGCTGGAGGGTCTGTCGCATAAGGAGAAGAACTCTTACGAAAATATGCTTATGCCTAGTATTCTATTTACGAGCAAATCACCCCCACGTGTTATGCTTGAGAAACTATTCAGCCGGTAAGCCGCGTTTTCAACGTTTATAGACTCCACTATCCATTCTTCAACTGTTCAGCGTCAAACATGAGCTCGCCGTCTTGTCGGTAGAAGGATTGGAGGTTCACGCTCACGACGGAGCGTCATGGAAGTTGACCCCTGTTTTGCAAAATGGTGTCGTTGACTTCAGCGTATGTACTATAAACCAATATCTTGGCATCCACATTTTTGACTACGAACGTCATAGGGTCTACATATATTATACAACTCACCTGTGTGGAACTCTATGTATGGCTGCCATTTATGTACATTTCCTGGGTTGCAACTGGAAGGTCGCATCGTTTGGTATAACGAAGATCCTTTACTTGAAGATCGCAGGACTAGGGCGACGATAATTAGGGACGCTTCGGCGAATATGAATGGACTCTGTGGTTGGTATCGTTCAACTGAGAAGATTTTTGTATATATTAGAGTTGTTCAGAGAAGACTGAGTTGATGAACCTGTTAACCATGGAGAAATTCCGACCGGACGCGCTCCATCTGGTTTCTGAAGGCATAACCTGCGACTTGCTTCGCGGTATGTGTCAGTCAAGGAGCTCGACATTCCTCATTTTCTGGGTTTCAGAGCTGTTCCAGAGTGGAGCCAAGACAACGGAAATGGTAGTTAGTCAAACGGTCCTATTTGAGATCACTGAGCATGGCATTAGAGAAAACTCCCAACATCACATATGCGTCTAAATTTATTCTTGGATTGGCGAATCTTTCCAACATGACGGGGGCGGAAAAAGATATTGTGGGTGTCTTTGTAATGTGGATTGAACATTTCAATGTACATTTTAGCTTATGTTTGTGTTGTTCCCAATTCTGGCTGCTGAAAACCTCTGTGCGAACCCAGTAGGCTCGGTCACCATACTAATTTACTGGCTTCTTGTTCGCCTCCTGGCTGATATAGAAGGCTTTCGTTCCCCACGCGTGGAAACCGCAAGACTGCTGGCGAAGGCGATGAAAACGTTGTGGGGCATCGTATCCAAGAAATTGTTCACGCTCAAAGTTCACGTAAGTCTTCTGAGCGTCCTTAGATTCGAGGCAATGGTTTGTTTTAGTGTTTTCTGGACCACAGCATTCTCGAGGATCTCTCAAGTTGTGGTTCGCCTTTCCTATGGTCCGCAGCGCCATTCGAAAGGATTCATCAACAGTTACAAGTCCGTACGGTGCAGCGCAAAACCAACTGCGAACGGGCCTTGATTGAGAAGTATGTTTGTTCGGCCCACAACGGTAATTTCTACTTTCTTACTATTTAGCTTTGTTCTGCACAAAACGCTGGCATATTTATCAGCGGAGAAAGCCCAACGGCATCAGAGTAACCTGTTTTTGAAGCTGCATTGCAAAGTTTGGGTGAATCGGTGCACAGGTCCGCTAGAAACTTACGTTAGTTCAGTATCGATTCTATGTGCTTCTTAGATTTCCTGTCAGTCTCCAACTCAATGCAGAATGGTATGTCCCGGCATTTTCGGACGTAAGCTTCGCTGATTTGAGGCCCGAGCATCGAAGCTTCTTGAGTGCTTTTGAGCACATGCATCTGTGGTATACTTTAATTTTTTTTTCGTTTCGATCCTCCTGAACATAAATCTCCAGCTCTCGCTTATGCCACAACAAGAATGTCTACTCGTCGATGTTCTACTGGACCAGGCGTAGCGATACCATCCAGCACTGCCTATGCCTTAGCGTAGAGGACACGCTAGTTTTTGGAAATATCATTGTGTTTCTTTATAACTCTGCCGGCGAATGTTATGTCCTCCTTGAAGAACACTTATGTTCTGATCCATTCTCAGACCTAGAAATTGCTGTTCACAATGTAGAACACGATGCAAGAATGGCCGCAATTGATGCTCTTGACTTGATACAGTTGTTCAACAAGTATTTTTTTCTTTCCACTTCAAAAAAATTAGCTCTGCGGGGAGCTTTTCTTATAAAGTGGTCAGCTACTTATATAGATTTTGGAACAAAGCGGTATTTTTCTCGTCTTTGATGCGCCGAATGTTTAGCTACAGTTTCCTTTTACTCTATTTAACGTCTACAGAATAAAAAGATTCAACCATTTATCGGTATTTCTCTGGGGTCTTTTCCCTACATATCATGATTAACGTACTATATCGCGGACTCTGGCTGTTTCACATTTTAATGTGAAATATTTGTCATTATGCAAATTTAGGAGATTTTACCCATAAGCGCAGCATGTCTTTTCACGACGAGGAGTACACTCCGCAATATTATGATCTGGATACTGCACCTGGTCTGTTATATATGTGCTACTAGAGTACACTGCAGAGGAATCGTGTTTTCAGGTGATCAGGATATGGAGTATGAGCGTCAAGTTGATGGAAAGGAAAATAGGGCGAGAAGAAATCAAGGCGCTTTTCTGAGCGACGATAGTACCAATGTCACTCACAGACGCAGTCAGACTTTCTATGGTTGGTTTTCCCAAATACTCTTCATAATTATGGTAGCAGTTTAGAAGACATGCAACTTGCTACAAATCTGAATGATAGGAGGGCTTATGTACAGCGTAGCAGCGACGAGAAACGCCGTAAAATTTCTCATGAGTCATGCAATTCTGTTGCTTCGACCTCAAATGCGCTGCCGGTAACGAATACGTTTTCGGGTTGGTTGTGGCACAACTTTCTAATATGGACAGAGGAACCACCTAAAAAGTTTTTAGAGGCAGTGAACAACATCACAGGAGAAAATTTTTTGTCTTTAGTGAAATTAGGAAAACTTGTACGCCAATTCGAAATGAATCTTGAAAATAAGGTAACGGTACACACCGATGCGCGTAACCATTGCGTTTTTTGTCGTTCAGGAACTGCTAGCGACAAAGATGAAAGAAGTGAATGCCATTAATATGCAGGAAATCAAGAATATGCAAAACGCAATCGACTCAATGAGACCATCATCAGACTCAGTCGTGAGAACTTTAGCTGGAATCATAAAAGAGCAAAGCAATATCATAGCTGGACTAAGTCTGACTGTAAGTAAGGTAGATCCAGAACGGAGGGTGAAATGCTTCTTTAGATAGACGTAATTCTCTCCAATCAGCAAGAGCATGGAAAGCAGTTACGGAAGGCTTCATATCACATAGCGAAAGGCAACGAATTTACTTTACCGGCAGGACATGTATTTGAGCGAAAGAATTTCACGAAGTCGTGGAAATTTAACGGGTTTCCTCCATTCAAGGTTACCTATAGTAGTTGTTATCGATACAGCAGCACTTAATTTTGTTTCAGAATGCTAACATGATCGAGTTATTTGAGACTTGGACGCAGCCATCAAGGGCACACAAAAATGACCATTTTTTGTTAATGATGGATTTTTATAGGTTCTATTTTTTGCATGTAAGTGAGGCTAAAATTTCGAGTCTATACTGAAGAGAGGTGCACTTAGGCATGCGAACCAATACAAGAAATCCAAAATTTTGCGTGCAGACAATCCGGTAAAAGGGGAAGATTTGCGCATCTGCAGGACCTGCCCGAAAGTCTCGTCACATTTTTGATAAGTGAGTAATTGATGGTCTCTCTAAAAATTCTAAAATAGATCTTCCAGATTTCGTTCTTGATGGTGTCGGCCTATACGCAGAAGAACTGCTGATGAGTGCTAGCGAATGCGCGCGGCAATCAAATAGGTATAGATATAAGTGTTTCTACCCCTTGATATCTCATTGATTTAGATTTTGGCTGGGCCTAGGAAACAACGATGAGGCGAGGACGAAGATGTTTGACAGGTTGTCGGAGGCGAGGATGAAGCTTTGTGGATTAGCACGAGTGGCTATAGGAAGAGCTTTGTGGGTTTCTTTTAAAGATAGTCTTCATGAATCTATTGAATTTGAAGTTCAGAGGTGACCTGCGCGCCTACCATTTCGATGCTGAAAAGGAGATGCTCTCGCCACCCTCGGTAATATTCATAAAGTGCGGTTCATAATTATACGAACACCCAAAATTTTGTAAGTTTTCGGACTTTTTGGGATAAACTCAAAAAGCCGTTGGTATCACGCGAAAGAGCACAACCGAAAGCGGTATATGACCCTTAAGAATGGAAATTGATGTCAATCTTAGGAGTGTTTTTGCGCCTAATGCGAATTTTTAGCGGTTCATAATTATACGAACACCTCAAACAAAGGTCCATTTTTCATTCAGGATTGCAATCATTTGAGTCCAAATTTTTTGTAGAGTTACAGTAATAAAGTCTGAAACACCTGCTACACACTGAACCCAGTGAAGTTTAAAAAAAAGGACCGTTATTTTTTTCAGAAGGCTCTAAATGCTTTTGGAGTGATTGCGCTCCAAAAACATCCGTTCTTCTGTGGCTTACGCGCTCTAATTAGCTTCTACCAAAGCTATGAGATAAAATAAGCCTCCTTTGATAGGTGTTTTGTTTGGCGCTCCGAAAATCTTTGCATTTTTGTGCCGTTTTTCAATCAAGTTCCATCCTAAATCTAAAGTTAGCACGATTTCGAGCCTCAAAACTCGCTTCTAAAGCCGTACAATGAAGTAAGCATATAGTATGTAGAAGTTCACAAGACTGTATGTTTGGCTAGAAAAAATCAGCAGCGTTGAGCGTTTGTTTTAACCACGTAGCCGTCATTTCACAAAAAACACTGTTTTTACTATTGCAAACACACCTCTATTTGGTTTGCAGCTCCGCAGCCTCAAGATCAGTCCTACAAAAAACCCAAAAACTTTGGCACAGAAACATCATCATGCAAGCAATGCAGCTGCTTCATATCAAATGTTTGCGCAAGACAGAAGCTGAGTTTTGAGGCCCGAAATCGTGCTGACTCTGTGCTAAGGTTGGAACTTGATTGAAAAACGGCACAGAAATGCAAAGATTTTCGGAGCGCCAAACAAAATACCTATCAAAGGAGGCTTATTTTATCTCATAGCTTTGTTAGAAGCTAATTAGAGCGCGTAAACCACAGAAGAACGGATGTTTTTGGAGCGCAATCACTCCAAAAGCATTTAGAGCCTTCTGAAAAAAATAATGGTCCTTTTTTTTGAACTTCACTGGATTCAGTGTGTAGCAGGTGTTTCAGAGTTATTACTGTAACTCTACAAAAAATTTGAACTCAAATGATTGCACCGCGGATGAGAAATGGACCTTTGTTTGAGGTGTTCGTATAATTATGAACCGCTAAAAATTCGCATTAGGCGCAAAAACACTCCTAAGATTGACATCAATTTCCATTCTTAAGGGTCATATACCGTTTTCGGTTGTGCTCTTTCGCGTGGTACCAACGGCTTTCTGAGTTTCTCCCAAAAAGTCCGAAAACTTACAAAATTTTGGGTGTTCGTATAATTATGAACCGCACTTTATATGATTTTTCAAATCAGTGTTGAATTGTAATTCTTTTCCAGAAAAAACGTTTTTGCCCCGCTACAACGCAAGATTCTTCGCACGAGCACACGAATGAGCCAGAGCATGAGCAAGACGAATACATCGAAAGTCTGAAGTCGATTTGAATAATGGATTCAATTTCATATCTTGATCTCGACATTCCTGTTTTTTCTGTTAACTTAGTTATGATGATTTCAATGTTCTTTTTTTTTGGTCACGATGCTAATGAAGTCTTTCTGAACTCTGTGTCGAGCACAGCACCTTTGTAAGATGTGTTTAGTGTAAATTTTTGAAGGAGAACCAATTCTAGAAAAAGCCCAGGCGGAAGCTGATCGGGTCGCTGCTATATCGCGCCTCCCGCAGGAGACTGCAGTCTAGAGCGGGAGTCCCGCCGGTGACCGAATCGCGAGAAAACCGGGACTCCCGAAGGTTTCAGTAGAAAACATGTCGGGACAAAACCGGGAGTCGCGCCGGATTATCCCGAACGAAAACCGGGAGTCCCGGTTTTCTCGCGAACCACTTTACTTGTGTCCCGCAGTCATTCCGGCGGGACACAAGTTTTTCACCGGCGGGACTTAACTGCGAATGTCTGAGTTGTGCTCCTTCGACTATCGTTTCATATGCATTAGCTTGCGAACCGTTTTATTAAGCCTCTACTGCTTCTACTCATGATAGGTTTTATATTACCGATGTTTTCGCCATTCTGATTTTTTATCGTTCCGTTCCTTCACTTCAGAGTAAGACTGCATCACTCATCTTATTTTTCTTCAGCAAAATTGCTATTTATAAAGCAGGAAAGTGTGTCTTTGTGTCTGTGCACATTTTCCATTGTGATGAAGAATGAGCAGCAAAGCTCATTTTGATCTGCTGGTCATTGAATGATAAGGACGGTAGAAAGCGAACCTAAGACGAGTTGGAATTAAAAGAAGGGGAATTTTGCTACATGAGAGACCAAGCACTTGGACTGGCTCCAAAACGGGATGAAACTCGGGATGCCATCCCGTTATCTAATATAAATTAATATTTGCCAAAAGAGTGTAATAGGAAATCAACTGAAAAACCAAAAGTGTATAATCGGAGATTTCGACGGCAATTGTCAGGGTTAAAAGAATATAAATTCTACTTCAAATATCAAACGAATCGAGCAAGGCATATTGTTTGTGGGTTCCAACAGTTTCCTACTTTATGTTGCTGTGAAAAACTGCTATATATGCTTGTCATTAGATATCATATCATTTGCTTGGCATGTGATCGCAAACGGAGCTTCAAATGCAAGCAGCTAAATTTTTTTACGGTAGCCTTTTACTCAATACTCTCAATTCTATCACTATCACACAAATTCAAACCTGCCCTTTTTTGACATGCTTAGAAAGGAGTAATCGTTTCGGGAACATTCGAGCTGGTCTTTTCTATTTGAGACAAAAAATGCATAAGAGGTGAAACGGGTAGCTTGTCATGCACTCGAATAAAATTTGCATTCATCTGAACAAAGTAGTTTTTTTGGGAAAACTTAACGAATATATTAGGTTGATGCAAAAGGAATGGCCGATTTGCGAATTCTCACTTTGATGTGCTATAACTTTCTAAAAAATCCAATTCTAAATGCGGTGAAAATCCGCAGAAGCAGCAAACCTTTCGCAATACAGCGCATACTTATTTATACTCAAACCATAAACGGGAAGAGAAATACGGCTAAAAGACAAAAAAGGTTCTTCTGCGAGAACCTTGTTTTGACAATTCATAACTTCCTTCAAAGTTCTTCAGTATGAATGACAAGTGGCCTATCTTGTAGTCACAAGTCAGTACTACAAAATACAATCAAAAGAATTCGGACAAAAAAGTTTGCGAGAAAGAAAAAATTAAAATTTAAAATTTCTTAATTTTTTCAACATTTTTTCAGTGTGCCTCAAAGTCCGGAATAAAGAGTTTTCTGATTTTCTACGTACTGAACAGCTGGATGTTTTTGCAAAAACTGCTAATAAATGTCCTAGCTCTACGCTTACAGAATTAAGCAAAGCTTCGGCGACTAACTTCCTCAGAAGAAAATTATGGGTCATAAAATTACCGCAACAGCTACTCATGTTTAGGCGCCGATATCTCAATTTGGATAACTTCAATGAATGCAGTTAAGATTGCATAATGTAGAAAATTTCTATTACATACAATAGCTAAATTTTCGAAGAATTTTCATTGATACGCGCTTGAATTCTGGCCGGAAAAGTGAATGCAATGAAAATCTAAATTTGGATGCGGTTATTTGAAGCTCAGTAACTTTATAAGAGATGAAAATTAAAGCCGTTTTCAAGCACCGTTAGATAGAACATGAAAACAGCTTCGCGACAATATACTACATCTATTGTAAAAAAGAAGTATTGATGGAAAAAAGCTTCCCTGAAAAAAGGCTTTGAAAATCGGCCATTTCTTTTGCATCAACCTAATATAACGCTACCTGGTTCGACCAAGAAAGCCTACAAGATTATGCGTTTCAATTTCGAAATTTGCACAGCAGATAATTGAAGTTCCAATATTAGACAAGTTGCCTCTCCTATACTACACATGTCAGAGGGCGCGGATCGCCGACCTACCGATCTTCAGTGGCGGGAAGAAAAGCCCGCGCTGACCCCTTCGGCTGGGTATAAATACCGGGAGTTGGGGGGAGGCCTCGGAGACTGCGCTGAGAAAGCGCTAGCGGGAGCTTAACTCCGTCGAAGAGAGCGGATCTCCCCCCTAGATGGAGAGTATCCAGTAAACCTGCCGAAGAGGTCAAAGAGGGTAAAGCCCGCTGTTTCGCTGTTAAGCTTGTTCATGTTACACGTTCTTGTTTCTTGTTGTTCGTTGCCATTTTTCTGAGATAAACTATTAGTCGTTCAATCCGTGTACTCTATCGATCCGGTTGAAACCGTTATACCACTAGACACCCCCGGTTACACACAACTATTATGTATATGCAAATTGCGGGCACTAATTGGCATGGATTTGATGTTTAGACCAAAGGCACATACTGACTCCCAGCAACTTTGAAGAACGTCATTTGTAGAGGGTAAGTTTCCGCCATAAAATTGCAATTGAAGAAAATGATTTCTAATTAGCAATTAGAGATGCATCCAACATTAAAAATTCCTTCAAGAACAGTTACGGTCATCACTTGATCTTGCTTGTCGAAAAATTACACAAAGAAAAACTCCATGCTAAGAGTGTCACTTTCCGAAAAGAATCTTGTTTGAGTTTTTTGGAAGGTGAGAAAAACAAAACGACTTACTCTTGGCCTTTTTACGTAGTCCAAGTCATATGTGGGGAAGAATGCTTAGGAAAAAACCAAAAGTACTTGGAAGAAAGCCCACTTCGGAATGAAACATAGTTGACACATCTTACCACCGACTATTAGCATTAGTTTTTCCTACAATGGGCCGTAAAGAGGTTCAGGTTGTATTTTCGTTCCAGCACTTTTGTTGTTGATTTACATATCTTATATATTAGGTTGTCCTAAAAGTTCTTGCGCCGGATTTTCAAAAATTCATAACTTCCTTTCTTCCCAACGATTTTTCTCAAGATTATTTTTGTATGAAAGAGGAAGCCTTTTTCTTTATAGCTGTGCCTTTGCCATGAATTAGCGTTGGTAAGTTTGAGAGTTAAAAGCGATTGAAAGAAATTAGTCAAGATCGACATTTTTCAAGCTGGATCATGAAAAATTCTGGAAGTAATTTTATTTGATAGAGAAAATTTTGCACATTACAGTGGTACCTTTTTCATGAATCAAAACGAAGTAGATCGAGAGTTAGATGAAAATAAAAAGAATTTCTTCACTTTTGCAATTTTTGAGCACGCTCAAAAAAGCTTGAAAACGTCACAGAAACGGCGAAAAAGTCATAAACATGGGTTTTGTGACCTTCCCTTTCTAGCTGAGCGAAAATCGTGCCAATCGGGAGCAATTTTCATTTTCGTGATTTATTCGGATTTTCGGGTCTGCATTTTTCACGAAAATGAAAATTGCTCCCGATTGGCACGATTTTCGCTCAGCTAGAAAGGGAAGGTCACAAAACCCATGTTTATCACTTTTTCGCCTATTCTGTGACGTTTTCAAGCTTTTTTGATCATGCTCAAAAATTGCAAAACCGAAAATATTCTCTTTACTTGCTTCTAACTCTCGATCTACTTCGTTTTAGTTCGTGAAAAAGGCACCACTGTAGTGTGCAAAATTTTCTCTTTCAAATAAAAATACTTTCGGAATTTTTCGTGATCCAGCTTGAAAAATGCCGATCTTGACTGATTTTATTCAATTGCTTTTAGCTTTGAAACTTCCTGATGCCTCTTCACAACAAAGGTACTCTGGTAAAGAGAAATGTTTCCTCTTTCAAACGAAATCAAAATCAAGAAAATCCATCGAGTGGCAAGGAAGATATGATTTTTTGAAAATACGGCGCAAGAACTTTTAGGACAACCTAATATAAAGCTGAATGTCTGTTTGTATGTCTGTATGTCTGTATGTATGTATGTCTGTCTGTACGTATGTTCCGAATAGAAAATTCCATTTCTGAACCGATCCGGACCAAACTTGGCACACATACACTACGGGCCCCGGCGGGTGTCATAGGCTACTTTTCGTCATCGATCGATATCCATTTTATCGATTTTTTGCAAAACTTGAGCTACGGGGCTGGGAGTTGGCACAGGGGCGTAATCGAGCATGCTGATCACCCCCGTGGGGGCCCGTAGTGTATGTGTGCCAAGTTTGGTCCGGATCGGTTCAGAAATGGAATTTTCTATTCGGAACATACGGCGGAGCCGGGTAAGCCAACTAGTTTCTAATAAAAACAGGGGGCATCAGGAGGTTTTATCTGACTAATACAAGACAAAAACTTTATAAAACCTTATAATCAAAGGACATATGCACTTTCATATGATACCGTACAATAAATCGGTGTTTGGACTTGGTTTGTTCCGAAATTATAATGAGGAAAGATTTACAATACTCTGAAGCATTTGAGGTTCTGATAGCAAGTGTGATTCCCTTTTTTGGCTAGGACTCGCTCGCTGCAATCAACCGAGCAATGATCTGAAAGACAAGCTCTCAGAGCGTAAGTATACTCTGGTCGTTTTGAGCGTTCAGAGGCGCTTGGCAGATGAT